CCCCCCCACCCCCCCCCCCCCTCCCCAGCCACAACCTGCAGGAATTAATTATAAATCAATTAAAGGTTTTTAATCTCTTTGGGATGAATTTTTGCCCCCCCCAATTAAAGAGAAGCGCAACGTGAACAGAACCATGTGGCATCGCTCCCATTTTGAGGCTGGGACGTTGATTTTGATGGAACCAAAGAGATTTGTAGGTATAAAGGAAAATATTTAAGGTGATTCGGGGTTGGAACTGGATGATCTTTAAGGTCCCTCCCAATCCCAACCATTCCATGATTCCATGGGGAGATACGGGTGGAAACGATGTGCATGAGGCTGTTATTTCTGAGTAATTATATTCTGTAGTGAATAATATGGAATCCCAGAATGATCTGGGGTGGGAAGGGACCTCTGGAGATCATCTCCTCCAGAGCAGGGCCACCCAGAGCAGGTCCCACAGGAACGTGTCCAGGTGGGGTTGGAATGTCTCCAGAGAAGGAGACTCCACCACCTCTCTGGGCAGCCTCTGCCAGGGCTCTGCCACCCTCACAGCAAAGAAGTTCTTCCTCATGTTTAGGTGGAACTTCTTCTGTTGAAGTTTGTGCCCATTTCCTCTTGTCCTGTCCCTGGGCACCACTGGAAAAAGTGGTGGCCCCATCCTCCTGACACCCACCCTTGAAGGATTTAGAGGTGTTGATCAGATCCCCCCTCAGCATTCTCTTCTCCAGACTAAAAAGCCCCAAGTCCCTCAGCCTTTCCTTGTAAGAGAGATGCTCCAGGCCCCTCAGCATCCTCTCAGCCTCTGCTGTCCCCTCTCCAGCAGTTCCCTGTCCTTCTGGAACTGGGGAGCCCAGAACTGGACCCAGTGCTCCAGCCGGGACCTCCCCAGGGCAGAGCAGAGGGGCAGGATGACCTCCCTCCACCTGCTGCTCACACTCTTCCTGATGCCCCCCAGGATGCCCTTGGCCTTCTTGGCCACCAGGGCCCATTGCTGGCTCCTGGTCACCCTGTTGGCCACCAGGACTCCCAGATCTTAATATTCATCATGAGTTGCCTGGGAAGCCCCAAAGACCACGGTGCAGCGGTCGACCCTTTGCAGAAAATTCACATTCCTGGTGCTGAGCCACCAAAACTGCAGAAACACCAAAATTTCCCCCTAAAAGCCCAGGAATCGTTACCGTTTGAGGCTGGAGGAGAGTTGCCAGACGTCGTCGGGGTCCATCCCCGCCGGGTCTTTTCTGTGAGCTACCAGGAAAATACTCTTCTCTTTGTAGGAGGTGTAGATGGTGAGGATCCCCATCATCACAAAATACGTGATAAAATTAATTAAGGAAACGAAGGACGTTGCAATTAGAAGTAGAAATTAGGCAGAGAAATCGCTTGGAGCCCCTCAGACACCGTTGTTCAACCATCTCTTGTGACGTTATCATTCCAAACGGGATGCTTGGCTAAAGCCTCGTTAGCATGAGAAATTAAATAATAATCAGGATATTTTCTTAACTCTTTGCCGGGAGCGTTAATTAATGCCTGGAAGGGATGGGGGAAAGGGACAACTCCCCAACGTCCTCTCCCAAAAGGGATTTCTCCAGCCACATGAACCACTTCGTTGGTGAAACCACGAAGCAAAAGCGGAAATTATAACACCAAAATCCTGTTTTCAATTAATTTGCTAAATTTTTGGAGCAACAGTGGGAAACCGTGAGGCCAAACGAGCCACAGAATTAATCGTTCCCCACCCCCCAGCACAGATCCAGCCATTAGAATTATTTAATTCTGAAAATGAGAAAATTATCTCAATGCTCTTCCTGAAACCCAACCAGAGCCCTAAAAATAACGCAATCGCTCGCCCACGATCTCGCAGCCGTTGGTGGTGGTGACTCCCAGTTTGGCAAGAAGCTCCCAGTTCAGGCTGCCTCACTGGTACCAGCAAACCCTCTCCACCCCCATCGAAGTCACCCCTCATCCATCACCTACATTCGGGCTGTAAAATTTCCCTCTTGCGAGAGGAGCTGCAGAGAAATCGGTGTCACGCTTGACCCCAAACAGGGGGGAAAAAAAACCCCAACATCCCAGTTAGGCTGTATTACTGGAAATTTTCTAACTGGAGCTGACATCTAAAAATATAAACTCTGATTTATAGCACCACCCTCCCAAATGCAACAACTGCTTCTTTGCAACGGAGGTGCTGGGAAGAATTCCCCCCGGTTTACTCTTCCCTCTTGGGATCTGTCATATTAGGAAAGAGCAAATGCCTCTCTGAGCAGGCTACGGGGAGAATTTAAACAAAAAATTAACCCAAAATGCAAAAAAACTCCCCAAATCTCTCAGGGGCTGCTCTTCAGGTTGAGGTTAAGGCAGCGAGGTGGAGGAATTTGTGTGTCAAATGTGGGAAACGCACTCGGAGACAACGGGGAGCTCAAGGAGCGGCCACTGACAACTCCTCCATGAGCAGAATCGCTCCCAAATCCCCAAATCACCCAAATTTAGGAATTTTCCAGCCAGACAGGCAAGAATTTTGCCATCACATGAGAACTGTTTGATCATCAGCTGATCTCCGCGCCACAGGAAGGAAAATCCCTCCCAGGCCTGAAAATGGGAAGACAGAGAAGGGTTTTGTGGTGCTTTATGGTGGAAAATAACCCCTCCATAATAATAATTAAATAATAATAAACCCCTATAAATAAACGTATGCGAAGGATATGATACAACACAAAAGGCAAGAACAGGTTTGGATTCAGGGAAAGGGTGCAGGTAATCCCAAATCAAAGCTACGATGGCGAAGAGACAAGAGATTGTGCAGATGATGAGGCGACCGTCGATCAAACGGAAATTTTCCACGTATTTGTACTTCTCCAGGAGAACCTGAAGGAGAAAAATTCAGCCCAGTTTAGTCCGTGCTTTAATAAGTTCAATTGACAGCTTCTGGAAAGGCTTAGATTTAAAAAAAACCTCAATGACATGGGTAAAATGAGGAGAAATTTAATAAGAATTAATGTCTGCATTAACCGTAATCAATAATTGCTGATATTCTAAGATTTAGCCATGGGATTTGGGAGAGATGCTCCAGAACCAGCTCGGATTTGGGTTCCAACCAAATCCAACCAAATGCAAGATTACAAGTTTTTAAAGTAAATGTTTAAACCGAAGGAAACAGAGAGAGAAATCAGCAGGTGAAGAACGTACCTTCTTGGCAGAATCGTCCAAAGAATTTTTCACTGCCGAACCGTCCCATTTATCAATTTTTACCGGTTTGTCGTCGATCTTCCACTGTGACAGAAACCAAATGGAATTTAAGAGAATTAGGCCTTTTGTTTGAATATGTTTGTTTTTGTCGTGACCACAAAGAGAGGAGACACCCCAGAAAACAGCTCCCACTTTGGGAAAAACTGCCTGGAGTTGGAGAGAATGTGGGGCCTCTCACACAGCACCAGCGCCGCAGAATCACAGGATGATCTGGGGTTGGAAGAGACCTCTGGAGATCATCCAGTCCAACCCCCTGCCAGAGCAGGGCCACCCAGAGCAGGTCCCACAGGAACATGTCCAGGTGGGGTCTGAATGTCTCCAGAGAAGGAGACTCCACCACCTCTCTGGGCAGCCTCTGCCAGGGCTCTGCCACCCTCACAGCAAAGAAGTTCCTCCTCATGTTGAGATGGAACTTCCTATGTTCAAGTTTGTGCCCGTTGCCCCTTGTCCTGTCCCTGGGCACCACTGAAAAAAGACTGGCCCCATCCTCCTGACACCCACCCTTGAAGGATTTAGAGGTGTTGATCAGATCCCCCCTCAGCCTTCTCTTCTCCAGACTAAAAAGCCCCAAGTCCCTCAGCCTTTCCTCAGCAGAGAGATGCTCCAGCCTCCTCATCATCTTTGTAGCCTCTGCTGTCCCCTCTCCAGCAGTTCCCTGTCCTTCTGGAACTGGGGAGCCCAGAACTGGTCCCAGTGCTCCAGCTGGGGCCTCCCCAGGGCAGAGCAGAGGGGCAGGATGACCTCCCTCCACCTGCTGCTCACACTCTTCCTGATGCCCCCCAGGATGCCCTTGGCCTTCTTGGCCACCAGGGCCCATTGCTTTCTCCTGGGCATCCTGTTGTCCACCAGGACTGCCAGGTCTTTCTCCTCAGAGGTGCTCTCCAGCAGGTCACCCCCAACCTCTCCTGGTCCATGGGGTTATTCCTCCCCAGGTGCAGCACCCTGCACTTGCCCTTGTTGAAGTCCATCAGGTTCCTCTCTGCCCAACTCTCCAGCCTGTCCAGGTCTCACTGGATGGGGGCACAGCCCTCCATCATGTCAACCACCCCTCCCAGTTGTGTATCATCCATATGTTTTGAGATGATGCCCAGAACAAGCCTTTCCATCATCCCCATCACCCTTCCAGATTTACGCTTGTCGTTGGAAGATATTTCATGAAGTGACTTTTTAAATCCATTTTGTCCTAATTTCCATTCTGCCTTTGCTGCTCCCGTTGCCCTCCACAGAAAGGGTCAGTTTTGACTTAATTTTTCCCTTTGAAGGGACTCATGCTTTTCAGCCAAGCTGTTACAAACACACTCTTTGGGAGGGCTGATGACAGCAGGAAGATTTCAAGGCATCCAGGTATAAATATATAAATTATAAATCCAGGTACAAGAGGAGAATATAAAAGCATGAAGAAGAAATGAAAGTGAGGTCAGACCAATCCCCAGGATGAAAACAAAAGATTGTTGCTCTTCTAGATTGAGATTTTTCTTAGAAAAGTGTCCTTCATCAATAACTAATCTCAGCTATAATGGCTCAGTTTTAAAAAGGGGTTAATTTTCCTCTGAATTATGTTATTATTTTTCGGTGACACTATTCCTTTTAACCAATCAGACACCTGAGCTTGAGCCCTGGGTATTTTATACAACAATAATAATAATAATAATTATGATAGTCATAATTCTATGACTTTAAACCATCAATTATTTCAAACAGTTGAGTGATTTGAGCTCAAATTTTAGCTGCTGTTAGAAGCAATTCTCAACTTCGCTCGGGTTATTTCCTGTTCCCAAAGTTCCCAAGTTGAATTTATGAACCACCCATCAGAAGAGCTCGTTTCCCTTCTCTGGCAGGAATGAAAACATTTGAAAGTAAGATGTAAAACCTGATCTACTTCCCCTGCATTCGCTCAGGGAAAAGCCTGATTATCCTTCAGGTATGAATTATTAGGTGGGCAGTAAATGTCACCCTGCGCACACTCAGAACCTGGTTTACGAGGGAGAAAAGAAACAGCCAGAAGCATTTAAAACTCACAGAAAAGAGCTCTCACATCAGTGCAAGTTACAAAATATTTTAGGTGGCTAGTTTTTTTTTTTTTTTGAAGCCACCAGCTTTTCCTAAAGTTAATTAAAACACACGATAATTAAAAGCCAAACCCTTTGCCGTGAAGGAATATAGAATAATCCTTTCAAAGATTTATTTCTCCTTATAAAAGCATCTGTAAGTTTTATTTCTTGCCCTTTGGGATTCCCAGTGATTAAAGTATTGAGAGCTAGACTAGGGAGAGGAAAAAAAATTACCTTTTTTTCCTAATTAGTGAATTGGAAATCAGAAGTCTCGAAGTACTAACAGCACCACTCACCCCTTCTCTCCTTATCCCAAAAATAAATAAAACAAAAAGTGCTGAGGAAACCCATTTAGACTTGACCTCACCGTTCTCAGGTGATAGCTCCATTTCTCACGAGGGAGTGGAAGGAAAGCCAAAAAAAAGCCTGTGGATGTGGAAACATTCTCTGCTCAGCAAACCCCTAAACCAGGATCCTTTCCTGAAACAGCATCAGCTACTTCTGCTACAGAATTATTCTTATAGGGTGCAGACAAGTCCTGGCATTTTAAAAACAAAAATATTGGTTTTTAAAAATACCACCCCTCAGTAAGTTCACCAATGACACCAAGTTGGGTGGGAGTGTCAACCTACTGGAGGGGAGGAAGGTTCTGCAGAGGGATCTGGACAGGCTGGATGGATGGGCCAAGGCCAACGGGATGAGGTTCAACAAGGCCAAGGGCCAGGTCCTGCACTTGGGTCACACCAACCCCATGGACTCTCCAGGGTGGGGGCAGAGTGGCTGGAGCTGCCTGGCAGAAAAGGACCTGGGGGTGTTGGTGGCCTGTGGGCTGAACATGAGCCAGCAGTGTGCCCAGGTGGCCAAGAAGGCCACCAGATCCTGGCCTGTGTCAGGAACAGTGTGGCCAGCAGGAGTAGGGAAGTGATGGTGCCTCTGTACTGGGCACTGGTGAGGCCCCACCTCAAAGGCTGGGTCCCTCAAAACAGGAAGGACACTGAGGGGTTGGAGCGCATCCAGAGAAGGGCAACGGAGCTGGTGAGGGGTCTGGAGCACAAGGAGAAGGGTCTGGAGAACTTCTGAGGGAGCTGAGGGTGTTGAGCCTGGAGAAAAGGAGGCTGAGGGGAGACCTTCTGGCTCTCTCCAACTCCCTGAAAGGAGGGTGTAGCCAGGGGGAGTCGGTCTCTTCTCCCAAGGAACAGGCCATGGGACAAGAGGAAACGGCCTCAAGTTGCCCCAGGGGAGGTTCAGATTGGATATTAGGAAAAATGTTTAGTCTGAAAGGGTTATTAAACCTTGGAATGGGCTGCCCAGGGCAGTGGTGGAGTCACCATCCCTAGAGGTATTTAAAAGACGGGTTGACATAGAGCTTAGTGATGGGTTTTATCAGAGTTAGGTTGATGGTTGGACTCGATGATCTTAAAGGTCCCTTCCAACCTGGACAATGCTATGATTGAGTAGGAAGACACATGCAAGAGACACCTCAGCTGGATTCGCTGCAAGACACACCAATAACAGAATCACAGAATCTTAGTGGTTGGAAGGGATCTCTGAGATCATTGAGTCCAACCACAAAAAAAGAAAAAAAACAAAAAAACAAAAAAAAAACACCCAAAAAACCACACCAACCCAAAAATACAAAACACACCACACCAAACTTGAGGGGCTGGAGCGGGTCCAGAGAAAGGCAACGGAGCTGGTGAGGGGTCTGGAGCACAAGGAGAAGGGTCTGGAGAACTTCTGAGGGAGCTGGGGGTGTTGAGCCTGGAGAAAAGGAGGCTGAGGGGACACCTTCTGGCTCTCTCCAACTCCCTGAAAGGAGGGTGTAGCCAGGGGGAGGTTGGTCTCTTCTCCAGGGGAGGTTCAGATTGGATATTAGGAAAAATGTTTAGTCTGAAAGGGTTATTAAACCTTGGAATGGGCTGTCCAGGGAAGTGGTGGAGTCACCATCCCTGGAGGGATTTAAAAGCCGGGTTGACATAGAGCTTAGTGATGGGTTTTATCAGAGTTAGGTTGATGGTTGGACTCGATGATCTTAAAGGTCCCTTCCAACCTGGACAATGCTATGATTGAGTAGGAAGACACATGCAAGAGGCACCTCAGCTGGATTCGTTGCGGGACACACCAATAACTGCCCAGAACTGAACACAGTACTCGAGGTGAGAAACTCGAGTAACTAAGCCCTGAAATCAGTTGGGGCTGTGGGGAAATCTTCTGTCCTTTCTTGTACTCAGACTTAGCTCAAGAGAAAGGCATTACCCAGGAGGGAAGGTGTCATTTGCCTCTGAAAAGGTTCAGTCTCTAGAGCTGCTCAAACCCTCCCCCCGTCTGCTTTTTACAAATAATAAAGAACAAATTGAATGGCAAGATTTTAACACCACGAGGAACCTCCGCGGGCCATGTGAAGCCTTCCCTCAGATTATATCTGCTTTTTTAAGCACAATCATGATTTTTTTTTTGGGTCAAAGGCTGCTAAAGGAATCATTTTGAAGAAGTCAAAAATATATATGCGCAAGTATTTCAATTACCAGTTACTGTGCTAAACCAAGACAATCCTCAGTATAAAACACGACAGGGTTCTCCAGCTTGTTCCTAAGTGAGAGCAAAAATCCAGAGATACTTGAGAAGATATCACTCAAGTGATATTTTTGTGATATGTTTTAAAATTAAATATTTGATACTGGAATATTTGCTTTTGGCAACAGCACGGTTTATCTAATACCACAGCACAACGCATCCATCCCATCATCAACACTCAAATTTTTAATCAATCTTATTATGTCTGGTTTTAATTTCTAAAGGCTGTGAGGATGGAATCAAGGGTTATGCTAAAATTTCTTCTCTTCTCCTCCCAAATAAAACTGACAATTTTCTAGAGAAGACAGAGTAGCTTGAAAGCACCAATGAAGAAAGCTCAGGAATCAGGGAATAAATGAAAATAAAGCCCAAGGCTTTTTTTTAAATAAAACCCTCAAGATTTTAAAGCTATTTTATGCTCTTTTTTCTAGAGAAGACAGAGTAGCTTGAAAGCTCAGGAATCAAGGAATAAATGAAAATAAAGCCCAAGACTTTTTTTAAAATAAAACCCTCAGATTTTAAAGCTATTTTATGCTCTCGTGGCAGAGCAAGAGCTGGATTCTTGCTTCTTGTTCTCTGTCCTGAACCACCTGACACTGGAATTGCCAGATAATATCCATGATAATTAACTGTTGTTAAGCAGAACAACAGTTCTAGCAGAGAAGCAGCACTTTCAGGGACAGATGTAAAGCTCACATGACATTTTTTTGAAATAAAGCTGTTACTAGGAAAAAAAAATATCTAATCTTAGGACCATCTAAAGCAAGGAGCTGAACCAGCAGTTCTTCAGTTCTTCTTCAGGCTTCCCTGTAGCTGACTCTTCCGCTTTGAGACAGAAACAGCTTGATGATCACAGGGTGGTTCATGTCAGAAGGGACCTTGTATCGGGGACATATCTGCGGTTTGGGGCTTCAGCCAAGGAGAAGATTGAGGCCTCCCTTTACCTTGGTCTTGATGGTCCCATGAGGTTATTTCTCCTAACACAGCACAGCACCACAGCGCTGCTGCTGCTGCTGAGATTTGGCTCCAGTCTCACAGAGGAAAAGAAAAACACCACCAGTTCTAAACAGTTCTTTAGTTTGGGGGTGATTTCACTCTTTTGTTTTAAAAACCAAGTGAACAGTTATCATGCTTGTCCTGAGCACATCCTAACTATGAATGGGAAGAAAATACAGTGTTCTACAGCCAGGAGTGGATGTGGTACCTGAAAACAATGAATGGGAAGAAAATACAGTGTTCTACAGCCAGGCACTGATAGGAAGTGGATGTGGTACCTGAAAACGTACCTGTGTAAGAACAAGGCTTCAGAACAAAGGCTGAAATATAGAACAAAATCAGAAATGCAATTTCAAAAAGCCACAAACCCCACTCTGACACCAGAAGCACACAAAGGCCCCAGGTGTTGACACGCAAGGAGAGGTGCAGCCTGCAGCTGGATGGCAGCAGGGGAGCCTTCTGCCCTTAGCTCCGAAAAAGGGAGAGCAAAACGAGCGCGTGCTTTCACAGCAGACACCGGGGGGTCAAATTGTCAAATTATCACCTTCATTTAAATCCTTTCACAAAACTCCCTCGTAAGCAGGAAGCCTGGAAAAATCCTGCAGGAGAAATGTCAAGATGTTCCTATCTCATGATGGCACAAACTTAACGTTTCCTGCTCCTCCCCTGCCTTATTCCTTCTGCTGCTACTGTCACTCTCTTTTACATCAGGTCCAATTTTAGCCTGCAACATCTTCTGGGGAGCTGGTTTGTCTCTTCGGATATTGCTCTGAAGTTTACAGTGCTCTTTGGGCATTACACACATAAATAAACAAGTCAAATCATACAGTGAAAAAGATTTGTTGCTGCTGCAAGAGGAGCAGCAGCGTCAACTTGATAAACTCTTCAAGAGGAGTAACATTTCTGCACCTCATCTGTGTTTTCTAGGGCAAGGATGAAAAGGAAAGTAACTTCCCCTTCCTAAACCCTAAAATTGGGAACTCTTCACACTGGGACCTGCAAAGTTGCAGCTGAGGGAGGCTGGAAGAGCCTCTGACGTTGCAGCTGATGGCCTTTTCCTGTGGGTTGGGCTGCAGCCCACACAGCAGTGAGCCCCAGACCGCAGGTCCCCGCCCCCTAACTTAAATTCTAAAATAATGGTGACATCACACGCCATGAGCCAGGCAGAAGTGGCATTTGCAAGAGGCAGAGTCCAGGGATATCTGGACTTGCATCCAGCTGCACATCAGTTCCCACTTCCTCTTGAAGGAAGAGTCGTGGTGGACTCCAGGGAGTTGGCGCAGCCGTTCTCAGCTCCCACTAGATCAGTGTCTGCTTTGGAGGAAGGAATTCTGCACCCTGCTCTCCCCAAAATACCAGTACTGCCTGATTGTATCCCCAGTGAACCAGTCCCCTGGTCCCAGAGAGCTCCTGCTGGGGTACAGGAGCAGAAGGCAGTTGCAGCAGTTGGTATTCAGGAAGTGGTTTTAGTCCTGGAGCTCGCAAAACCTTCAAAAGTTTTGCTCTAGTAGGAGCAGAGCGTGGTTAATAACTTTGTGTTGTGCTAAATGGGTGAAATCTCAAGGTGTTCGAGGGGACTGCAGCCTCTAATGCACAATTAGGTGGTCCTGCTTAAGTGAGGAGAGGTTGAGAGGAACTACCTGATTATCACAAACACCGGAAGAATACAAGAAGGACAAAAAAATGGGATTGATAAAACACATATCTCCCTAAAAAGGGATAGTTAAAACATAAATCTCCCTAAAAAGGGATAGTTAAAACACAAATCTCCCTAAACTCACCCTGACTTACCTTACATAAAGACACACTAAACAAGCAACCTGCCTGAAGACTTTAAAGCCCTGCTGATAAACTTATTTGTCTGTTCGAGAAAAACTGCCTGAAGACTTTAAAGCCCTGCTGATAACTTGTTATTTCTCTGTTCGAGAAAAGCTTGAGCAAATTATGGACCTAAGGCCACGATTCTCCAGATAATACCTCAGAAATATATACACCAGTTCATAGAACTGACCAGATTTTGTTTAAGTCATCCAGGGGGAGGAAATAAAGGCACACAAATCACAGAATGGATCACAGAACGATATGGGGTTGGAAGGGACCTCAGGAGACAGAGGGAAAAGAAGATAGAATTATCAAATGTGTGTATGCACTTCAGGTAGAAGCCCCGCAGAAACTATTCACTGGTTTCTCACTAAAGAATTCAGCTCCCACACCAACTGAGTGTTTCCTTTACCAACGACTCCTTTTGCCCCTCAAATAACTTCCCCTCAGCATCCACAGGGCAGGAGGAGTGGGAATGCCTTGGGAGCTCGAGGCTTTTCAGAGTTCTCAAAGTTTAACCACAAAGCGCTGTAATTTCAAAACCGAAAGCTGAGCACGTTTACAGAAGAGAGGCAAAAATATTTCATTAGCTCATCTTGCCCTGAAAGCATTCACTCAAAAGCTTGATCTACTGTTCTGAGGAAAATTCTTAAGGGTAGTAAGAGCTTCATCTCAAACAGATGCAGAAAACTACACTCTTTATGTTATGAAACATAGTATGTTTATGTTAAGTTACGACTATACATATAGGAATGAAAATCAAAGTGTTTTCAATTGCAGCCACCCCTATTTTGAAAATCAGTGAAAGATGCTGAACACACACCCTTTTGCAACCAGTGATATGGACAAAAAAAAAAAAAAATGCCCCTAGGTCTTTAGTTTCAGCTACCAAACTGCCAAACACCACAAAGAGCTGAGAAACAAACACCTGGCCACTAAACCGGAGCTGAGGTGAAAGCCACTTTACAAACAACTTCCTTTAAACTACTGAGACTATTTTATCAGCAGACTTTTACAGAAGGCTATGCTCCACCTGACCTGCTCTCTCCAACTCTCTGACAGGAAGGTGTAGCCAGGGGGGGGTCGGTCTCTTCTCCCAAGGAACAGGCAATAGGACAAGAGGAAACGGCCTCAAGTTGCCCCAGGGGAGGTTCAGGATGGATATTAGGGAAAAATTTATTTCCTGAAAGGGTTGGAAGAGGCTGCCCAGGGAAGTGGTGGAGTCACCATCCCTGGAGGGATTTAAAACAGGTAGATGTAGAGCTTAGCGATATGGTTTAGTGATGGTTTTTGGCAGTGTTGGGTTGATGGTTGGACTCCACGATCCGAAAGGTCCCTTCCAACCTCGGCCATTCTCTGACATTCTGCCATGCCCAGCGTTACCTTCCTAGCAAAACACCCACCCAGAGGAGCCCGGCCGTACCGCTAGTCGGCCTTTTGTCAGGACGGGTTGGGTAAAAACCAGCCACGCTGGCAAAAAAAATTTAAAAATAAAAAAAACCCCAAAAACCTAAGCTAATTCGCAGCCGGCTGCTGCTATTGTGGCCGCACAGCCTGCCCTCGGGATGTTCCCTCCCTCCCCGCTCCTCCCCGAGGGCTCTTCTCCCATTTATTGCCATTACAAGGCGGCGGGAGCTCCCCACAGCCCCACGGCTGAGGCGGGGGTTTCC